AAAATCCTTTAATATCTTCCAGGCGATATAAGTGACATTTACAGTGACATTTTGGGTGTTTTTTTCTGCGTTTTAACCGTCTGTCAAATGAATTGTGTTCATGTGCACAGAGCGGCTCACCAGTCCTTCTGTAAAAGCAGAGGATAGATGTGGAATAGTCCGTTGCGATCTTATAGCATTATGGCTAATCCAGGGTATGATTTTAGAAAGAAAACTGTCGGTTTTACCCTAAATGTTATGTTTTATTTTTCTGTTGCTTGGTTGCATGTTAGCCGAGGACCAGCAGAATCAATCCCCTGTGACACAGTCTACAGTTTATTCTTAAAAAATCTAAACTCTGTAACGAAATATACACTGCAAAAAATAGAAATCTAAATAAGTAATTTTTGCTTAGATTATGTGCATTTTTTCTTGAATTGAGGAGGTAAGTGAGACACTTTGCCAATTCAACAAGACAATTTACAATTAAAATAAGAAAAAACAATTGCTTTGTCTTATTTCAAGTGTATATTATCTAATTATCCTATTTTAATGGTACAAATACTCAGTCCATTTTATTTACCTATTCAAATTAAGGGTAAGTACACTTAATTTAAGAATTTTTTTAACCTCTAGATGGTTTTTGCATTGTAGGTGTACAAGCATGCTACTTAGTCCTAGAATCTGGTCTGCATTTTTTTTGCCTGTAGTTAAAAACCGAATTTGTCAGTCGGAAAGTGGATTGTTCTATCCATCCATCCATGGATCCATGACGCTTATCCCAAGTGGGGTCGCAAGGGCTGCTGGTTTCTATCTCCAGCTGTCTACAGGAAAGAGACGCGGTACACCCTGGACAGGTCACCAGTCCATCGAAGGGCAACGCAGAGACAAACAACCATTCACACACACACTCAGGAGAATTTAGAGAAGTCAGTTAACCTAACAGTCATGTTTTTGGACTGTGGGAGGAAGCCGGAGTACCATGAGAAAACACAAACATGCTCAGAGAGAACATGCAAACTCCATGCAGAAACACCTGGGATCAGGAGTCGAACCCACAACTTTCTTGCAGCGAGACACTGCGTAGCCTGGATCATTCTATTTCACTCAAATAATGCCCAAAGAAAATAATAAGAGATTAGTAAAACATTTATGTCTAAGACTTTTTTTAACAATAAAAACACAAAAACGAACTTTTCATCTTCTTTTTTTCCTCACAAAAAATAGGGAAATAAAAAAAAAAACAATATGAAATTTCTCTAATTTTCTCTCTCTCTCAAATACATTTCTTGAGTTTTTAAACTTTCTTAAAATTCTTCTTTCCTTATTTGAGAGTGATTATTGGTGAGAGTTCATGTGTGGTTTGGGAGGGGGAGTTGCTGCCCAGGGCAGCATTCATGCAAGAACCGCCACTGATGATGATAGTCCTGTCCGCCTCCCTGATGGGGGATCCCATTGCTCTCTTCTCATCCAACAATCCCACTGTGCATGTCAATATGAAACACTATCCCTCCCTCACAAGGGGAGGCCATCCCACCCATTAAACATAGGCGCATATATTGATGGCTGATGCTTATATCTCCGTGAGAAAGGATTCAGGAATGAGTAAATCCTTACATTTCTAAGTAGATTTCTTTTGCTGGGTGAGTTAAAGGGAGAGTGGGCAGCACGGCTATCTTTCCCCAAGTTTTAAAAAATTCTCAGTTTTGTAAATGCTGTCATATTGCCGATGCAAGTGTCTTTCAGCTTAATACTACCTATATTAAATAGTTTAAATATTTCATAAGGGCGGGTTTTCAGAGCGAGGGAGGGGAAATCGTTAGCTGCGCTAAAGTTTCATTAACTGGTCCCCCATTTCGCTGCGAGGCAAACTCATCTCCTCTTATTGTAATAAAACAATCTCTGTCTTTCTCCTGGTGCCGCTCTCCGCTCTGCTCCCTCTCCCTCCTTCTCTTTTACATCATAATAATACACTACATCCCCCTTAAATGCACTATTACTTACCGCTGCCTTTTCATATTGTAACATCACGGGCACTTTAGCGACAATATAAAAGCGTGTCATTCATTATTCAGAGGCAGCCGGCCTCGTCCCCTCCTTTTAAAAAGTCAGGCGCTCCGCTGAAATTGATAACGGCGAGGAGACGCGCAATAAAAACGCAGCCCCCGGGTACCGAGCTGCAGCCCCAAACCCCCCGATTATGCAGATCAAGTGGTAATTTCTCAAACAAATCGCAGTCTTTCACTCTTTTGTTGTCGCTTCTTTTTTGGACTTTTGGAATCAGGGTGTCAGCTTTTAAATTGCCTCTGGAAAGAAAGAAAAAGAAAGAAAAAAAAAGGAGGAGGGTATGAGCAATTGTTTATGCGGGCTGCAGCTTTTTAGGACCTAAACATTTGGCATGAACGAAATGACCTCAAGAGCGCCTTTATGTGGACTCTGCTTTTTGGGCGTGTAGCTGCAAACCTGTTAAGGTCCTCTCTATTAATACATCCATATAAGTTGTCAGGAAAAGGGTTGTGAAGTTATATAGGTCTCCTGCTCAAAAAGGGCGCTCAGAGTTCCTCATTTTGACGGAGCAGGAATTCGGGTCAGGAAAGGAGTGTTTAATTCCATTTGAAGGAATTTACAAAAATAAATGAACATGGATGTTCTCAGTAAACATACGTGTTGTATTGAAGGGCTTGGACTTAAAACAGCAGGTATATTCATGGATATGACCTAATACTCCCCACCAACACACACCAGGACCTGTAGTCTCCACAATGTGGCCTATTCCTGGGAAATTGTCCCCACAAGGTAACCAATGCATGGCCACACGCCACTACCATAAATGGGCAATGACATCATAGGGCAATTGGTAATGGAAAGTGAGTGGAGATAGGTTTCAGATATTTGATTTATTTCTTTGCAACACATCTACTAAAATTCAAAATACACTGCAGACTCTGTATCTTGCTCTTACCTTATTTAGAAATGTAATATTATAGTCTCCAAATGTTTTCATATAAAACTACAAATTGTTTCATAACTGTTTTTTTTTCTTCTTTGTTTTTTTTTACTACCACGAATGATTATTTCACTTTTTGACGAGTTTTAATGTGAAAAAGTATTTTAAAAATTCATTTTAAGTAACTCAGCTGTAGGACACACTCCAGACAAAAGCGTAAAGCGACATCGTGTGTGTGGAGGGGATGTCGGTTTAGTTTTGCAGCTTTAAGAATAGCACATTTTTGTTGTTGTTTTAACATTTTTAGGACTTAGATTAGATCAAGTTTTGTATCTTCTATTTATTTGGGACTCCAACTAGAAGCTGCAGCATAAGGTTTCATGAACTACCATCTCAATATCAATTTATTTAACTGTTATTTTAATCTAAATCCAATCCACCAGCTGGTCAACAAGTATCACATTTTTTAATCAAATTATAAAAGGGTTTGTAGGGAAATATCTGGTTTTTAAGCTAAATTATTTAGCTACAAATGTCATTGACAGAAACATAAAATTGTCTAAAACGATGACAGCTTTAACAGACCAATTCTCCCCCATCAAAAGCCACCGGTGAGCTCACATATGGCCAGGGTGAAGCAGCCAACACTCTGTCCATATTGCCTCACAAACACCTCGGGCCTTGTCCCATCTCATCATCTTGCTTTTATAACACCGGATTGTCAGAGGCAATATGCTGCTTTTCTTAAAAATAAAGAGCCGTAGATTTATATTCCTATTTAAATTTGGAGGAAAATGTCATGACAGTAACAAATATTGTATTAATATATCCAGGACATTTTAAATGTATTTTAAATGTATCCAAAATAGCATTTGCCATTAGATTGTGGTTGTAGGAATATTTTTTATCAATATAAAATATTATGCTTAAAAACATAATTAAAGATATACAAGAACATAAAATAAAAAAATACAAAATGTGTTAAAAAATAAGAAAGTATAATAAATATTGTACGTTACATATGCAAATATATGAGCTCTCAGTTTGTTAAAGTGCTGCAATGTGATAGCCTAAAAAGCCACCTGCCGCATCCAAAGCTGACGCGCATTTGTCTGTCCATGAGACAAGTTAGTGAAAATGAGATTAGCTGGTCACTTTGGGCGCCTGTTACATTGAATCTGAGGGCTTAGTAGCTTCCAGAGCCCGGACACTTTATCTGGAGTAGCCCGTGGCTTTCCCTTGTCAGGTCATTTAATGTGGGACTGGCTATCACAGGAACAAATAAGGCCGCTTAAAAGAAGTGTTTGCCAAGCTCACTGCTTTCTGCCAGTGCTTCACAAGCAGCCTTTTTATTTCAAGGAGCGAAGTGCTGCTTTGTGGTGTCATGGGTTAAACGTGCGTAATTACGCACTGGATTTCAACTAACACTGATTTCTTTCTTTTTTTTTTTTTTTTGTTTTTTAGCTATTTTCTTTTCAAATCTAATATTTGAATAAATAAAATCAACAAACAGAGAACATAATCGATTAAATTGAAACAAAAAAAAAACATAATTCAGTAGATTAAATAAAGGTAGGTTAGCAGACATAAACTTTTATCTAAAATTCTGTGCTGGATTAATTTAGTCCCTTTTATGAGACATAACATACACTGGTCTCCAGCACAACCAGTCCACAGCTTTCTTATAAAAATTGAAGAAACGAGGGGAAAAATATGCAAAAAACAAAACAAAAAAAACCTTTAAATGAGTGATTTGAACAATAATGTGGGATCTCATATAACAGTGTGTTATATGTGACTGGAATAATCGACAACTTTTTTTTTTTTTTTTTTGCTTTTTTTTTATAAATCAGGAAGATATCCGTTGAGTTTTAGTGAGCTTGTTATTGTGTGTTTATAATATTTAATAAGCGAAACTCTGAATCCCTCGCACGGCTTTAAGATGCCATCTCTTAACATGTAAAACACACTGACAGCCATGGTTATGGGAAATCTTGAATATTCTGCCAAACCATGGGCCTTCCCCTCTGCTGACATTCAATCAGTCATTCCAGTGCCAGCCAATGAAAGGTGCAGACGGATGGGGGAGGACGGAGCTCCAAGACTGAGCGTTTTGACGCGCTGAGAAGGAGGACAGAGCGTCACATCTCTCCAAACGCCCATCAAACTTTCGGTAGAAAGGAGTCAATGCTGCAGAAGAGGCCCATCCGAGAACATATGCTGATTATTATAATTTTTTTGGACATGCAAAGCGATGGAGAGACTTTTGACGATGAATTTTGGTGCAGTTTGACCTCATTGTGATTCCCCTCTGAAAGCACCTTATCCAGTTTCCCCATCCTTTCAGCGACCGAGCGAGGGATGGAGCAAGCACCCAGCGCGCCGAGTCCTCCTCCAAAACCAGTCAACCACGAACCCATCAGCTTCGGCATCGATCAGATTCTGGGAGCCGGATCGGAGCCAGAGAACGGGAACACACCGGGGAGACAGAGTGGATCGGATTTAAGCAACGGTGACGCCTATTATAGCTTGGGAAACCCGAGCGGTGCCAATGCGCCCTCATACACAGCGCTGTCAATCTCCCTCTCTGGGATCATGCCTCCAGCGGAGGCTTCAGCTTCATACGGAGAGAACAGGAGTTTGGGCAGCCGGGGTGTGATACGAGTCCCCGCTCATAGACCAATTACGGCCCCTGGACCCGCGGCACCTGTGCAGAGCGCAGTTCCTGGGTTTGGAGGGCTGTGCTTCCCTTGGATAGGAAACAGGTTCGCCAAGGACAGAATATCAGGTAGGCCAGCTGGCAGAGCTAACGGGATCCCCTCATTAAAATTGAATAAAGTTTAAAACGGCATCAACGGCACCTATATCAAAAAAAAAAAAAAAAAAAGACTTGCTTTTCAAACCGACAGAAATGTTTTTGGTTTCTTTGTTATCAGAATAGTTAAAATACATCTACCGGTACATTTGTAGTTATGATATTTAATCAAGAAAAATACAAATAAGTTAAAAATACATTTATAGAACAGCAGAAATCCTGAACTAAAACAAAGAAAAAAGCACAACTTAGTATCAATAAGTGGCAAAAAGTCAAACTAACTATATTGCTCTGTGTTTTTTTTTATTTAGGTTAATACTTCCATCAGTCCTAAAATGTAAACATAAAACGGAATGATTAAAATGAATGTCCTAAAATCATTAAACACCACAGCCGGCTTCTCTTAAAATTAGGATATTAAAAAACATTCTGTACTATAATGATAAATTGTTAATAAAAAAACAATAAATATTTGTCATTTAGATAGATAGATAATTATAGATAGATAGATAGATAGATAGATAGATAGATAGATAGATAGATAGATAGATAGATAGATAGATAGATAGATAGATAGATAGATAGATAGATAGATAGATAGATAGATAGATAGATAGATAGATAGATAGATAGATAGATAGATAGATAGATAGATAGATAGATAGATAGATAGATAGATAGATAGATAGATAGATAGATAGATAGATAGATAGATAGATAGATAGATGTTTAAATTCAATTCAAGGTGTAATTAAATTCAAAGCTGGTTGAAAATGGCTTTACAATTTTTAAGGCTCGATAATGTTAGAGGTTGGGGATTATTATTATTTTTATATAAACACACCATAAAAGACAGTATAACAAACTATAATTTAACAGTCAAGAGGAAAAACTAATGTGGAGTCAAATAAATGAAAGATAGAAACCAAAAACAACCTAAATAGGAAACGTGTTCTCCATGGCGCATGTGATTGGCTGTTTGGGTTTGGGCATCCAGGTAACCATGAATGATTGTTTGTTACACTTTGTGTAAAATGTTCCTGTATTTATAACTCACCTCCTTTCCTGCCTCCTGCAGCGGCTTTGGTGCCTTTTGCAGTCACTCGGCGAATAGGTCACCCCTACCAGAACCGAACCCCACCTAAGCGGAAAAAGCCCAGAACCTCCTTCTCCAGAGTCCAAATTTGCGAACTGGAAAAGCGCTTTCACCGGCAGAAGTACCTGGCCAGCGCCGAGCGCGCAGCTCTGGCCAAAAGTCTGAAGATGACCGACGCGCAGGTCAAAACCTGGTTCCAGAACCGCAGAACCAAGTGGAGGTTGGTAGGAAACATAATGGAGCAGTGAATACATTTCTTTTTAAATTTGTTTTATTTTTTCTTTTATTACAATGCGTTTTTTTCCTTACCGTTTACATGGGAAAAAAAACCTTAGGAATTGTACTACATTAGCACAATTTTTCCAAATTTTAATTTCATATATATATATATATATATATATATATATATATATATATATATATATATATATATATATATATATATATATATATATATATATATATATATATATATATATATATATATATATATATATATATATATATAATTTTGTGCTAGAGAAGGGCATCTTTTCTTATTTTAATGCCAACTATTTTCAGTTTCCATTGACTTCCGAAATGTTTTATTCCTCCACTTGCCGTCTTTTAGGAGGCAAACAGCCGAGGAGCGGGAGGCGGAGCGCCAACAAGCCAATCGCCTCATCCTGCAGCTGCAGCAGTCCGCCCTCCAGAAATCCCTGAGCGAATCGGCGGTGTCGGATCCACTATGCGCCCACAACTCCTCCCTGTACGCTCTGCAGAACCTCCAGCCGTGGGCCGAGGACAGGGAATAGGGACAGATGAAAGAAATCAATCCGCTGGGACATACTTCCATTCATGCTTCATGGAGTAAAATTGACTTGAAACTGAAGCATGGGTCACATCTATTTAAACGGAGGATTTGGTGAGTGCGGCGCACTCAGAAGACGAAACTATGGATTACTTTTGTTTTACTACGGTGGGTGGAAATACCACAACTGTGGGAAACAGATCTAAATCATACTTGCTGAAAAAAAAAAAAATCTTGGAAACATGTAACTGTCCTCTTATGCTTGCACTTATTCTGCTAATTAGAATAAGAGAGGAGAGAAATGTCTTGTATGCAGTTTGTTTAAGGGATGTAATTAATTTTCCACAGTAAAAAGGAGATTCTATGTTCTGAGTCTGCATTCTCTTAACATGGCCATTTGTTGGTGCACTGGTTCTACAAAATACATAGTGTCACAGAGGACACAAAAGCTGATATTGTTTTTCCTATTTTTTTCTTTTTTTGTTTCGTTTTGGTGGTGCTTGTTCATCTCCCATTCATAAAAATCTTCCTAATGCACTGTCACATAAAAAGCAACAATTGGACCAAACAAAAAAAGATGCCAGAAATATTGCATTTTGGGTGAGGAACGTTATTTGAGTTGTAATAACATGAAAACAGGCTTCAGGAGATAAGGAAATCTCAGCCATGCTGTAAGTTAAGGTAATAAAGGGAGTGATGCATGCTAAGAGATGTTGCTAGAGTCTTTTCATATTCACATTATTATGTTTTTGAATCGAGCCAGAAACTCTGTTTTGTACTTTTACTGTACATGTGTAGATAATATTATAAACCGTTGTTGTGATCTTTTGTTTTTTTATTCATGCTCCACTCTTGTGCACCAAAGTTTTTAAGTGTGTTATTATAAGGTATAAAAGTGTGGGGGGGAAATATGTGGGAAGAATGGTTAAAACACAACATTGTTTTTTCATTGTTTGGGTTTTCCTGAAAAGTTTATTGATAAATATGATTTTATACAACATTTCAATACACACATAATTTGAATTGACAGTTTTAGGAATCTCTGCCTGTCTATCTCTCTGTCATCTTGTCTGGATAACTGCAAATAATTCAGATGACACTATTGTTATAGCACAGTGAGAAAAGGCGAAATATTTATGTCTTTCATTCCTGCTCGCTCTTCAGAATGATGGCTCTTGTTTGAAAAATGGCTTCCATTCCTCCGGAATCAGTGATGAGGTCTAGCTCTCAGATTTTCGCCCTCCTCAGTCATCCCTCCACCCCTCACAGTGAAATTCTGGTCACTCTGAGTCATTGTTTGGGTTTTAAACAAGACAGAGCTGAAAACAAAACTGTCCTCTCATCCTTTAAACATTCTTCTGTACACTGAAGGTTCCTCAACATGAACTGATTGATGCACATGCTCAAAATTAAATGGATTTTCAAGCAGGACATTAACATCATGACACCACATAATCTCTCTTTTACACACACACACACACACACACATGCATTTTTTCTTGCTTCCTATGTGTAAACCAGCTGATGATCTCTTTATTTAGCAGTTATAGAGAAAGACGGTGTAATTACAGAGTTATATCCACGCAGACAAAAGGACAGACATGTATTAGGATAAGAAACAGAAACAAACATCAGATGGTAAGAAAATACCACATAAACAACAGCTAAATATCTGTAGTACAGCTTAGTAGTTACAACACTGAAGAACTGACTTGGGTCACGCTAACACAGACTGACTGGGTTCAGCTCTGTAAACAGGTCTGCATTCTCAAATACAAGAAAAAAGACAAAATATTCTGCCGCTCACGCTGCAGATACGCACTAAATATAGTATAATGTCGACCTCTGTCTTACATGCTTCAAAAACTCTTCACTTTTTGCAGCCCTGTTACATGAAATTATGTTGAAAACAGATTATTGTCGTAGACCTTTACCGGTAAGCTGCTTTTCATTTGATAACAAGTTACACACTGGACCAAAGAAGAGACTGGCAGCATATTTACAAAGAGGCAAAAACCAAAGGCAGTCCAAGCTGACAGTAAGCCTCAACACCCATAAATGAAGGAGACAGAGACGAGGTAGACACTCAGAGAAAGACATTTTCCCAAACAGCTGAAGGTTTGTCCCAGGAGATAACCTTCTAAACCCAAAGTGGCAGTTAAAGCTCCTTTTTATTTTTTGCTTCTCTCTGATGTTATGATGTTTTTTTTTCTGCAGCAAACTCTTGACCATCTCTTATTCTCCTTATCTTTCTTCTTTTTTCATCTCTTTGTCCTTGAAGTCATCTGTTGATCCACCTCCCTCCTGACATTTGTCATTTAGATGACATTTTCAAAGAGCTGCAGAGACCTCATAATGTTTTCATCCTGTACAAAAAAGAAAGAAATTAAAAAGCTGACTTCAGAGAAGAGAACCTTCCAACAAGCACCCTTTAATTCATTTTACTAGCCACAAGGGGGCAGTATATGGTAATAACAATCTTAATGATCTCTCTCAATACAAACACACTTATATGGAAGATAGCAAAGACCTTAATTAATAGCCATTATAGTGAGAGTTGCAAATGTGGGAGGCCTTAAATAAATGGTGAATAAAATTTGTATTATTGGAAAAACTGCTTTTTTTGGTACTGTTTCAGTTGGTCAAATCCAGAAAAAATGTGTTTCTAGCTTGCAAAAATTACAATAAAACATCAAGCACAAACTCTCAGTTATAATATCTTTTTTTAAACAAGAATCCAAAAGGTTTATAGCTCTCGATTAAGATACTTTAACAAAAGGAAATCTACCTCTTGACAAGAAAGGATGAATTCATCAAGTGTGACGACACCATCTCGATTTTTGTCCATTTTCTGAGGAGAGATAAACAAATATTAATGACAAAAACAAATTTTGCAAATATTTTTTGTGCCTTACAACAATAGTCCTCGAACCTTTTCACATTTTGACAAATTCCACTGACATCAAGGTATTTTATTGTAATATCCAGTGTTCCTTAATCCTGGCCCTCAAGTACCACTGCTCGGTATGTTTTAGATGTCTCTCTGTCGCACCACACCCATCTAAATGATTCCATAGCCTCCAAGCAGCCATTATGCGCTACAGATGCCTCATTTATCAGCTGTGTGGCAGCAAGGAGACACCTACAGCATGCAAGGCAGTGGTACTTGAGGACCAGGATTGAGAACCACTGTTTTATCAAAACAGTAACGGTCAGGTGGGGAAAAAAATCCATCCGTCACCCCATCAAGATACACTGTTAGTTCCTGCTATAGTTTAGCTATCATCAGCTACATCATGATACTAGAGCCCCAACCTGACGTTAAAGGATCATGTGTTCCCAACTCAGAAATTTTCGGAAAGAATTTCCATCTAGAACTTTATTGGGTAATTCTAACTAATCAATATGCGTTGATCTAAATCTATTTTTTAGTACTTCCTATATTATTTTTCTATGGAGAAGTGAACCTCTGACCTGTTCTCAAGTCTTAGGCAGCATATAAATTCTTTTCTTTCAGGATCAAATGTGTCCAGTAACAAAGTACATATACTTTGTTACCTTACTTAAGAAGAAATGTTGGCTATCTATGCCTTATTCCTTTTAAGACAGCTTTTCACTTCTACTCCTTACTCATTTTTGGTAATTATGTCTACTTTATACGGCTTAAATTTTAAACTAGACTCATTAGTTTTGTTTCATTTCAGAAAATTTCTGTTGTGGCTTTTTGGGGTTTAAACAACCATTAAAATAATTTGTTGTATCCAGGCAATAAATTTCTGTGGTTGGACACGGCACTGCACCAACTGTTTGTTCCCCACATACCAAAATGAATAGTTTTCCAAGATTATGCAGAGTTAAATTTGACCTTGTTACTATTAGTTATAAAACTAAGGAAATTAAGTATAAGGAAATTATCATCCAGAATTGTAGAAAAAATTTCCCTTAATAGGGTAGAGCAGTAACTAGTATAAGGTTTAAAGCATCTGTCCTTAACATTTTTCCTGTATTATTTTTAAAAATGGTACTTTTACACTTTTACTTGAGTAAAAAGCTTAAGTTGATACTCTGGATAAATATTAATGCTTTGACACCTGTGTTAAGAAATACTTTCTATTCAGCTCTATCGTGTGTGATTGTATGTTCAGGGGGCTGGGCAGTGATTTCTTTTTGGCGTACTGTTTTGTTTTCCCAAAACTTAATTCTTTTTGTCACCTGTATACAGAACATCCTAAGGCAGGCAGCAATTTTGACAATGATGGCTTATGAGTAGCGGGAAAATTAGAATATTAATTGGAAATTCATGAAGCCCAACACGTATTAGCTAAATATATCAGAACATTTGCTAAGTTTTTCTAAGATTCTAAATGGCCTCTCAGTCTGTTTTTATAACTAAACAGTCATGAAAGTGTTAAATTAAAGACACACAAGGAGGGAAAACCACCAAAGTTCATTGCATTTGAAGTAATCCTCACCTATTTTGCATACCCAAATGGAAAAGAAAATAACTGAGGAATGGTAAGCCTAAATTACATGTGTGATACATCATTTGAAAGCTAACACCTTCTAGTTTCTGAAAATATAAATGAAAATTGGGTGAGTAAAACACAGCCTAAGCTGCATCAGTTCAGACATGACTCATGACTGTTTTTTTTCTTCTCAATAATAAAAGGTCTTACTTGAACAGCAGTAATAAAGATATGCTCATGAATAGGCATGTCTCATTGTATTACATTTGTTCTATATCATGTCAACCACAAATGCAGAACATTTCAGACCTCTAACTGCAACCGTTCCAGAGCTGTGGGGCTTTTGGTGTCACCAGCGTCTCCAAACCTCCAAATGTGCCAAATTGTGCCAAATGCTTTTACTCAACTATTTGACCCTTAGAATAACACTGAAGCATTTTGATGGCAACAAAACATTTATGAAGCAAGTATTTAGCCACTTCTTTTCAGAAACACTGTATATAACAAAATGAAAAATCTATAAACCTAAAAGAACATAAAATGTCTAAGAAATAGTGAAACTGCTGCTTTTCAAGCTAAAATAAGCTCCAGTGCCTTTTCTGAGCTGTATTTTTTATATATATTTTTTTGGCATTGTCATAAAAGAAAGTCAGCGTCCAAACTTCAAAAAAATCGGAGATATTCTGAACTGTGCCCACTGATCCAGTCTCAGCAGTGTACTTCACTCCGGTAACAAGGCTCTGCTTTATGCAACCCAGCCACGTCTAACATTGTTTGAAACCTTATTTAATCAGCTACAAAGCCAAACAGCCCACATGGTTTTAACCAATAACAGCAAGACTCTATGAGGTGTAATATCGCTCTACTGGTGTGTCATTGACTGACAGGCAAGGACCCCGAGACTTCATCGGCTGTCCCTGACTCAAATAAAGTCATACTAAGATGTAGACACTTTTGTCTTGTAGGTAAGAAGACGATATAAAAAAACATACCAAACATTGCAGACAAATGTTTGAGGAAGTAAGTCTTATTAGAAATATGCTAAAAGGACAAAGTTGGAAGTCAGGAAGAGCCATAAGGCACTAATTTACAGGAGATTGGACAGTTTCTCAAGTATGGGGTCCTTATTTCTGATTAAAATAAGTTTGCATTTCATTTGATAATATGTCAACCTCCCAGAGTCTAAATAAAGAATGGAGAATGTAAGAATTAACTGTCCTTCAAGTCCAGTGGGAAGTTTCCACAGTGATGATTTAGGGTGTTATGCCATCTGCTGGTATTGGGCCAATTCTGCTCCTGAAATCCACAGTCAACACAGCTGCCTAAAAGGAAATATTAATGCACATTCTGCCTCCGTCTGTTGGCAAACCTCACAGGGATACTGATCGCATTTTCCAGCAGGATTTCAGCACCCAACCACACTGTACCAAAAGCTGGCTCAGCGACCATAGTGTTGCTAGGGCTTGGTTGACCATCAGACTCATCCGATCTGATCCCTATTGAAAATCTACAGGTTACTGTAAAGAGGCAAATGAGAGATACTCGACCCAAACAAGGGAAATGATCAGAAGACGTATTAAAGCAGGCTGGACTACATACAAACAGAGCCCCAGGCTGATCGTCATCATAGCTCGCCTACCTGATGCAGTAAATCATGCACAAATACAGTTTCTATATGATCTTATCTAAGATTCAAATTTTCTGAGACACTATAATTATACTATATTTTTAAATATTTCATTCTATGTGTGGTAGATCTTTACAGATCTTATGTCTGAGGCAGCACAGGGTGTAAAATGATTTTTGGCCTGAAATGTTCAAAACTAGTGACCACTGAGCTTTGATCTAGTTTTTTAAGATTTCCCTCCAAGAGTAATCTGGCAGTGCCCTGTACTGGCTCACATATGAGTTTGATGCCCAATATCTATAACACCCATCTCGCCTAATGCTTTTTTTTTTCTTCACTTTTTTACATTATTCAGCTTTTTTAAGTTGCACTTGTTGCTTTGCTGTAAGTACCATTCATCACTGCTATGGATGAAGCAATCTTGTCGTTCATACCTGAAAGAAGGCATCCACATGCTGCTTGGGAGCATCCGTTTTCAGGACAGGATATGTGTACTTCCCCATCATGTCATAGATTGCTCTGACTATGTCTGTCATTTCCTGCGAAATGGAACAGAAGCACAGGCTTAAAGAGGCCTGAGATTTAAAACCTCACAATTGAAAGGAAAAAAAATAAAATAAAAAACCTCTTTGTTGATGTATCCATCTCTGTTGATGTCGTAGAGATTAAAGGTCCACTGGAGTTTCTCTGTGACAGAACCTCTTAGCAGGATGGATAAAGCCGTGACAAAGTCCTGCAAAACAAAGAAACACAGTATAAGTCCCAAACGGATAAAAGCCAGAGCAGTAAAACAACTTTACATGACAACCAGGGCTGGACTAAGCTGGTCCATGTATGTCATTATCTCATTTAAAAAAATGCATTTATAATTGATATAAATCATTTATATGCAACAAATAATCTGATAAATAACTAAATTAGTATATAAAGAAACCATTCCCATTATATTTTCACCTGTTAAAATAGATAATAAACCAGTAAAATACGAAGGAAGCACAAAGATGCTCGGGGGGAGGCTAAAAAGCCTCAAAGTGGACGTAGACAAAAGCTCCAAATCAAAATGTTTGTTTTGTGCCACAAGTGTAACTTTAGCAGCAGGGAGGAGCAGAAATGCAGGTGGACTCAGGATCAGGTCAGAATAGCTACTAACAGCCTGGTAAAGTGAACCAGATAATGTTAGCACTGGCAGAACTAATAAATGAAGACTTAACAATAAATAGTCTCCTCATAGGGAGACTTTTACCTATTTTAAAATACTAGTAACAGATAAGTGGGAAGTAGGCTAATAGCATGCAATAGAACAAATATATAGTTCTATAAAAGATACATTCTTTGTGCAATAAGAAGCTAGTGTGTGTCAGCGTTATGTACAATTTAATACAAAATACAGATAATTTCTATAGAGAAAGCAGACGGCTGAAATTGTGTGTTCTAGTGCCCATTTCACCAACAGCCATTTCACTGTGTCCCAAAGTGAGAACAGCCTTGTCTTACTTTTGCTTACAATTAGGTTTAGGGCTAGGGTGTGAATTAGGATGAATGGGAGTCAACACATGGTCCTCACTACATATAGCAAGATGAGATGGGATGTGTGTGGAGGGGCTTTATGTTGAAATAATGTTGTGTCAATTTTAATTTGGTATTTTAATATTATGATGTAGTATTAGAGAAGCATTGGCAGAATGGATTGTTTTTTTTTATTAGCAGAGGTAGTTAGTATTGAGTTACCTTTAGTTGAGTCACCTTCTAGGTGTGGTTTTACCTTGGTAATATGCTCACCTTTGTGAAGGCACAAGTAGGTCAATATAAAAAAAATATATTAATGGAGAAATATATAACTATAAAGTATTGAATAAGATTTTTAGGCTGCTCTACCCAACTTAATCATTTAAGAAGCTTAAATGATTAAAGAACTGACTTATTTCAACCAGAAATGAATCCAGCCCTATAAAAACCTACATGTAGGTTTAAGTAAGACTTCTTGTTGGTACAAACACTTTGTTTCTAATGTTATTTTGGGCTGAGCTATTCAAAAGTAAATATAAATTACCTACTTTAGATATTGATTTAATTTGGTTTATTTTGAAACATAGATTTAAAGCGTTTAAAATGTCTTATCCTGCATAAATTTTACATTTCTGTAGTCTATTTTTTTTTTCATACAAGTTTATTTTACATATAAAAAACAAGAAAAAATCAGATGTAATGATTGACTTAACTTTGACAGATGACTTTATGCATAAGGATTTATGGATTTATACCAAGCAGTTTTTTACTCATCACCCTTCACTCTATTTTTAAACAACACAGTACACCCTCTTGAATGCTGCATGTTTCTCTATACTCATACAACCAATCATGCTGGGCCACCATGTTTAAAAGTGGCCATATTTTGGTCCCAGTCCAGCCCTGCTAGCTGTGGAAATGAATAAACCAAACCTCAAACTTTATTGATCCTGTGTGTCCAGTGTCAAAAGCATTGAACAGGTAGTGAGCGTAGGCGCTGGCATCTGAAACACATAAAATAAACAGTTAATGAACCTATTTGAGCCAACAGTGAGAAAATATTGATGGCACTTCTCACCCCCATGTGGAAAAAACTTGGAGTAGATTTGTTTGAAAGTTTCTTCACTGACAACTCCACTGGGACATTCCTAAAAAAGAAGGAGTGACAGAAAAATGCAGCGTTGAGAGGAACATTGAAATCCTACAGCGACTAGAATAAGATATGAAGACATACAGACATCTGGACAGAAATATTAAAGACTCAATTATCACACACTCAAATACTCTGAGTGAATTTGCACAGAAAAAACATAAATTCATGTTGAGATTTAGACGAGATAAAGTAAGCAACATTAAAATGAACATAAATCCAACATTCTACAGATTAACAGTTGGAAATAACATGAATTAAGTAAGTGATACAGTAGGTGTCATTTTATTAAGCCAATTATCAATGTACTATACAGTTTGGGATCATTAATCAATTTCCAGATTCAAATTGTGGCAGAGAGCTTTAACAAAGTTTCCTTATAATTTGTTGCTTTAATTGAAAGTTGCTGCCTGTAAAAATATGTTCGCCTGTTAAGATTATAATACTGTCAGATTAAACCCTAAAATAAATCCACAAACTTTTTTTCTGTAATTGTTACTCACAAATCAGATTCCTTCAGAGTAACAATAGCTAACAAACTGAAACAAATTCAAAATGCTGGAAAAAACATTTCACTCCACGGATAAGCGTACCTGTTTTGATTAATTTCATTTTATTAAGAAAACTGTTTTGTTTTTGTTTTTTAGATGCTTTAGTCCATAACTTGCAAACTTAACCTATATTTTTCACATATATTTCACATAACTTTTATGAAATATTTCATAAAAATGGTTCATAAAATTGGAAATATAGCAAATGAGAATTATTAAGAAACTGAAAATCCATTTTAGGCCTGAATTTACAAATACCGGTATCTTTATCTCAGCCCCCAAACCCAGTGTATTTATTTATATAGCACAGTGTTAAACAGCTACTAAAACTTACTTACAATAAACAATCTACTGTTCTGAAGTAATCCTGCCTCATTATTTTATTTTGCATATTGTAGTTTTAACAATAATTACATGACTTCTTGTTTTTATTGCACTTGTATAGCATCTTACATTCTTGAAGCCTCTGTAGAGCACTTGGAGTTCTCTTTTACTGAAGTTGGTTTGAGCTTCCATCTGATCGAGACCTTCTGGTCGATGGCACACAACAGTCATCTCCAAGTCGTCATCTGCTTTGTCTGAAAGGACAAACAGAGGAACTCATACAGTTAACAACATATGGCCTTCGTTTCTATACGTTTTTCATGTCTAAAATGTTACCTTTTCACATTAATCAGCAGAATTCTCACTTTAAACTCAAAACTTCAATTTGCACATATTTCGAGGTTAGGCTTTAAACAACTGACTGGAACATTTAAACAATTAAAAAACCTGCAAGGAAAAAACAATGTTGTATGGAGATTTGTTTTGTGACCAGTCCTGTCATTGATGTGATATGGTACAGTTGTTAGCAACATTGCCTTGCAGCTAGAAGGAGTCAGGTTCAGGCTCAAAACCATGAGGCCTTTCTGTGCAATTTTAATGTTTTCCTCATGCATGTATGTGTTCTCACTCTCTTTCTACTCCAACATCCTTCCTCAAAAAAAGACTATATAAATAACCAAATGCTCCTTCATGTATTGGCACGCACCAAGACAACTGTCAAAATAAAATTCAGCCTTTGAGGACCTTTTTTATTGCAAATATTCAGTTAGCAATAAATGAGTGAAAGTGAAAGAGAGGATGAAATATGGCAGTGAAGAGAGGTAGAGGTCAGATCAGCCGTTCCATGTTTGTCCTCAGTCAGACCCTGTCATTACCAACTCATTATCCTCCTGGTTGCAGGGGAGGGGAGAAAGGACACACCATTGACTCCTCACACACTAGCATGCCTATAGGTGATCATCACAGCATAAAATCAAACCCCTTCCCTTCGTCCTTTCTCTAACACACCCATCTATGCAGCTCAAAACCCCCTGAGCCCTTTAGTGTAATAATTATGCATGCTGTTATAACTGTGCATAATTTAATCTAAGTACGAATAATAATTCCGAACATGATAAAGTGTTCATAATGGGAAGCAATAAAAGCTCAGAGCAAAAAAAGGAAGTGGTCTTAGAGATGTTTAGATAATAAAGTGTGATGTTTAATGAAGGTCCTTTCAAGATAATGTCCAAGAGAGAGAGCAGCTTCGAATGAAAATCTAAGGTCATAAATACATCTGGCTAACATAGATAATATACCTATAGTTGGGTTTAAGCAGCAGTTCTGTGGCACATCAGCCCTAGAAAATAAAAGCTCTAACCCACAAAGATGTATCAACAAATATTGCATGGAGTAGTCAAACATAATCAAGGGCAAAATTCTCTTTTTAAAGCTTTCCTGAAATATGCTTTTAATATACAAAGTCTCAGTCTTAATTGGATAAATTATTACCTCTAAATCTGATCATTTTGTTTCAATTTAAACCGATCGGCTTGATAATTTTAATAATGATGGATTTGAACCTAAAAATGTCTCACAGTTTAATGTTTACTGAGTCCTTCAATGTCAAGACATGGAGACATTGAAAATTTTTAAATTAAGTAATTTTTCTCTCCGTGGAAAAAAAAACATAAGGACTTTGCAAAGCCTCATTACTCCAGAGCCTTTCAAAGTCGGTCCTTTCAATAAATCACGGAACAACGTCGCAGTGCAACTATAATTACTTTGAGTAACAGTGGAGTCACCAGTAAACCCGTAAAAATGTACATAAGATAAAAAACATATCTATGCTTTAATCATTGCATCATAAATGTAAGGTTGAAACATTGCAGCCACTTTTAAAAGTCAGTCATTTAATGTATGTCATATACGTTCTGAACTATTCTTTTTACCACACAATACCTTTCTTTAATGTTGTCCATTCATTGCCTAAGGCTTATGAATTGGTAGGACTTAGATGTAAATCACGTGGAGTTGTCTTGCTATTTAAATGTGCCATATATATATTAACTTGCTTGCCTTGCTTTATGGTCTCTTCCGTGAATCTGTTAGACACACACACATGCTTACATCCTGCTGAAGGTCGTATGCTTCATAAAACAGGGTAGAGATACTTTACAGCACTCTATCCGGAGCTTTAGTTAGAAACAGACAGTCCAAGTAACAATAAACATGAAACTAAGCTCTTTAAAGCATCTTATTTTTATGCAAAACTCTGAGATGCAATATGAAACTGATACAGCCATACTTTTCATTGGGTTTAGCGAGCTTGAATGTGAGAGTTACAATGAGTGTTCTGTCCTAATTTAAAGCCCAGGCTTTGCAAAATATCCTCTTTCTAAGAACATATTTTAACCACAATGATTATCATAGTTTTGAATGAATGTGAATATAACAGTATGTGTTGTGGAGGAACAAATAAAATAAGGCGGTTCTTTGTAATTTCTCATTTGAAAACTGCAAGACAGATGAAATTAGGAGACTTTATGTTTGCTATCATATTTATGGACTGAATAAAGCCTATCAAAGTAAATGATTCTAACTATAGGAGCAGCATAATTTGACATAATGATGAAACACATGACTAATGTATGTGTTCATTTAACTTTTCTTTGTTTTGGAGACTAATGAGATTATCTAACACTGGTGCACGAAAGTGTATTATCTCTGCTGCCACCTGCTTTATTCTTGTTATGTCATTACAAGAGGTGAGAAAATATCTATATTCAATCTAAGCTGGTTCCATTAGTAGAGATAATGAATCATAACAAAATAATAACGTTTTTCACAAATAATGAAGCAAATATTTAGAAAATAATTATTTTGCTACTACAACTGAATAACAATGATGATCTATGTAAGTGGCAGCAGTAGAGCAAAAACTACAATATATCATATTTAGATTTCTGATATTTTTTCCCCTTCACCAGCTACAGTAAGTGAAAAAAGTGGAAATATTTTTTTTTTCTCACAAAATCAGACCTGGATTAAAGCTGGAGATTAACTCACCCTCTACAGAGATGACTCCTAAAAGATGCAGCAGTTTGATAGCGCCACAACATAGCAGGATGGTGGCTATAGTCTGTAAGCTGTTGTCCCTCTGTTCCTCTCTTTCCATTCTGATCACTTTCTAATGAAAACTTCATACAATGTTAAATAAGAACAAGTAACTTCCAAAGAGCCAAGTACGTCTTTCTGTTGCATAGTCCATGTATTTTGAGCTTGCTTCACCAACAGAGATTGCTGCACTCACCTGTTTCTTTTTATCCCTCATTCCCCCATGTCCCTGCAGCATCTCCTCCCCATGTCCTGACCTTTTCTCCATGCCAGTAACTCTTTTTGTGTCCCCCTCAACAGTCTCTGCGTCCTTCACTGTTAGGAGCTGTATTTTTACTGGAGGGTCCAATCTGTTCTGCACAGTCACACTGATGAACTCACCTTCAGCTGTGTGGGGTTATGTCTGTATGTTCTCACATCAGCATTTGATTTATTGTTTCCGTTTACATATAGGGTCATCTTTACAGAGCAGAAACTGTTCGTGAAAAAGTGACTTTTCTCTTAAAGTATGCTGAAGTTTTACTCTAAAGCTTGTTTGTTTTTTAATCAAAACTCCAGATGAAAAGTTATTCTGTCTCCTGTTTTGATCAAAGCTGAGCCAAAAAAACCAAGTTAAGCTTCTGACTACCAGCAGGGGGAAGCAGAAACCAACAGACCTTCAAAGCAATAGATCCAGCTGATGTTGCAGTTATACAGAGCTAAAACAAACAAACAAAAAAATACCCCTTTCTCCAATAAATTGTGATTGGCACTCAAAATATAAAGCGTACATGCACATGCCACACAAGCTGCTTTACTTGATTAGAAAAGCCTAAAGCTTATTGAAAACGTTACTGATCCTAAAACATGAATACTGATAAAAAATGAAAGTCAAGTTTAGTCTCTCCTATTACAACAAACTCCTGTGAACAATAATGCACTGGTTTAAAATCCCAACTTGTTTGATCAATTAACATGTTTAGAGAGACTTTGATTAAATGATAATAAAAGAACAATCCTTAATTGTCTCATTGGAGAATTACAGGTGTTTTCAGGAAAAAAGGAAAAGCTTATAAAGAAGAGAAATGTATCGTTATCAAGAAATGCAAATAATAAGATGTGTAACCTAGTAGGATAAATTAAAAAATGCACAATTGTATATCAAAAACAGCAACATACTATTTACAGGGAAAAAAAGGTGTACAATTACAAGCATAGACATAAATAACATTGAGCTTGTAGGGAGCAGTGATAGTTATTTAGTCTAACAGCTGCTGGAAGAAATAATCTGCAGTAATGCTCCTCAGTGCTCAGAGGGACCAACATTCTTTTTGGCAACGAAATCTGAAGCATGAATACAAACATAAAACTCGTGATCAAATATGTTTAAAAAAAATTACAAAAGGCAACCTGAAAAACGACTCCAATCAGTTTTAGTTAGCTATAAGAGCATGAAAACCGATGTTTTTATAAGAGTTTGAGCTTATATGGTAAACCTTAAAGTTTAACTGAACCACATGTAGCCTCAAACATTAGGGAAACACATCTCAGAATAATAAGGGAAACAACATCAGTCAGATGCAAACTGGAAATACTCTGACTGAGCTGTGTTCTTGTGGTGAAGAATTGGTAGAAGTCTCTAAATTTGCAAAGATGGAATATTGCAGCTATAATTGCAACAACAGGTGGTTCTTCGGGCTATTGACTCAAGCAGGACCTAATATGATTACATACCATTGTTTTAAGGTTTGTATCTTTCAAATTTAAAAAAATGAACCCTTTTTCTTGAACTTCAGAACGATGCTCTGGTTTGTATATTACCCAGTATAATCCTATTAAAGTGGGCTAAAGTTAAAAGGAGCTAGTCTAATAGTGGTTTACACATCTTTTGTGGATGTTTGGGGGTTTTATTGTAAGGTATAGCCATAAAGTAAAGAGAAAATTTTATGCAGGACGAATTTTACCAGAAACTGTCTTGCATTGCCCTCTCTAGAAACCAGCAAGCTGGATCTAGACTGTTTCAATTCAGCTGTCTGAGATAGCAGAAGCTAGAAAGATTTCCACCATAATCTTTATGTATCTTCCTGTGTATCTTGACATAGTTAGACAGTATCTCACTGCTCTGAAGCCTTACTTCCATAAGTTACTTCTGATAAACTCTTCAGCCAAATTAAATTGT